ACGTTGGTTAACATCGACCAGACTACACAGCGCAACAACCCAGAAGACAGAAATCTTCAAATTATACTGAGCTGTGAAAGCGAAATATTACGTTTTCTAAGATTAACTGACGTAAATACGTGTCAGTACATTTTACCGCGCAACTAATGGTCACACGCCATCTTGTCTGAATCTTAGAATACTTAGTTGGTTAGTTATAATTCAAGAGTCAACAGAGTGGGATTAATTCTAAGACAAGTAGGGAACACAGTCTATATTAGGCTCTTAAATGTATACTTTGAATTACACACAAATAAGATTATTAAGATAGGAAATTGGGAAACATGTCATCGGTAAAATACGTATTTAATTATTCGTGGTTTATATACCAACGTTGCCAGTAGCACCGAGGTCAAGTTTTTAAAATGATTTATCATAGGTCTGTAGATGTGTACGATGTAAGAATTCCAGACTGATCCTGCTGTTTGCAGGAGGCTCGATATCGAACTTGTACGCCTTCCTGGCAGCTCGGCATCGCATGTTCCCGGACTACAAGCAGAAGGGCCTCAGCTGCATACCGGGACAGCTCGTCATGTACACATCAGATCAGGTAGGCCGTCCCTCAGCATCTGACAGCCAAGAGATAAATTTTCACGATCTGTATAACTTGAGATCAGCAGAAGCGATCTCACTGTCATGGGGACGAAAAAGGAAAAGATCCATTTATATTGAGTCGTCAGTGACGGAAAGCTACGCCTTCAAGAACAACGTAATTATAACCCGTCCAAGTTTGTAAAATTTGCTATTTGAGATCAAACTTTCGACAACAAATTATCACCGATTTTCTCTAAAAAATTTCCCGTGATACATCGCCAACATCTAAGCCACGCGCGGTGCGTCACTGGCCGCCTCAGTCTGCAACTAGCTGTTGTATCGGCAACATGTGGCGAAGTTCAGCGTCTTTTTTTTTAACATTCCGCGCAACCATATTTCACAGAAGAAAAAGTAGTGTTAGCTATGGAAGTACAAATGTGAAACCTGTGAAGTTACAAATGCATAGGTATAATAACGATCACATAATTTATTAAAACGTTCATACAAATATGCTTATATTCAGCTCTATCAAAATACTTAAATTTTAACGAGATCATCTGAGGAACGTAGGCTGTACCTCGCGAACAAGTTGGTATGCCTGAATATATAGCGATTCGTAGAAAAGCTATAAATTTCCGAAATATGAAACGAAACAAGTAATTGATTTAGAAGAATATATTATTGTAGTTATGTCTCTCTCTCGTGAAACAAACGGTATTTATTTTAATTAAAATTTGGTATCATGTCCCCGATGTATTTAAGGTCTCGGTGTTTTGACGTTCTGAAAGATTTATTTTCATCCCCGTACTGACCGCACATTTTCAAAAGGTCTAACAACGTTGGGTTTGATTCGGTACATTACATCTTCCTACCCTCGTTCGGTCCAGGTTTGTGTATGCATCTGTTGACTCGCCTAAACTTTAAAGAATTCAAATAAAATTTGCTGTTTTATGTTACACCAGATTTTTAATGGCGTATATATTTAAAGATTCTTTTATATAAAATTTCTTAACAGTCCATTCAAGAACAAGGCACCTAGTCCTGCTTACTTTTTAAATTTAAAGACAAATTTAGTTGATTTTCTGTTTTGGATACTGTTACTCCGCGCATATCCAGTACTTCAATCACAGACTACTCTATAAAATGTTATATCTCAGCGGTGAGTAGGAAGATGGCTGTCATCTGGGTTGTAGCAACTTTTAGTCTGATAGAAGTTTACTGACGTTTCAGAGGTCCTTGCTGCCTCCATCATCAGCATCGCAATAAAGATGGAAATTGCAAGGACCTCTGAAACGTCAGTAAACTTCTATCAGACTA